GGGGGGGGGGATCGACAAAAAAATCACGCAATGTCAGTGTTTTTATCAAGATCAGAGTGAGCTTTTGGTTTTTAGCCGATATTGATACTTTGCCCATTGACTTGGAACATAACCGTGAAATGATTCACACAATATTGCGCATTTATCTACTATATGAAGAAAAATTTGGATGTTCTACAGACGTCCAAAAATGTCTTATACGTATATGAGTATAATATGAGTACCTACTTTACACTTAGTGAATTAGTTATAAAACTCTTAGGCTATGCAAACTGTTACTGATTGCGTCGATTGGATAATTTAATATTGCCCAATTATAAGAAAAATACCTACCTATGTATACATCCTCCTACTTATTTATCCTAGTAGTGCCCGCGACTTCGTCCGTGTGAAATGCTCTCGGGTAGCATTTTAATTTAAGAAGTTGCTTGCACAGTTTGGGAAATGTAATTATAATACTTTCTAGAAGTTTTACTGCGACATTTTATCTATTTAATTAACATTAGACATGATATTTAATAGAGAAGATTGTCGATGTTTTGTTGCGGTCATCTACAGTTTTGAGTACAAGACGTGGCGGTTGTCGGGACGTCTCGGGATGTCGGTATAGATTAGAATAGAGATGGGTGACGTAGGCGCCGGCGCAGCGCGCCACTCTCACCTTCCATGATTTCATTAGGGTTCCGCAAGATGGCGTTGTACGCCCATGTCACTTTCTTGGATAAGTAATAAACATGCTGTCGCACGCAGAATCATTGAAAATGTCCCTTAGTGTAGATATAGTAGGATAAATCTACAATAAGCACTGTTTAAGACTTTCAGTTCAGAAGTTAGTATTGTCTTACTTCTTACTAATATTATAAATGCGATTGTTTATACAAATGACTGGATAATTGGATGTTTGTTTAAGGTATCTCCGGGACGACAGAACGGATCACACTGAAGTTTCTCACGGATGTAGAACGTAGTCTGGAAGAACACATAACCTACTTATTAAGTTTATTTTTAATACAGCTCATAATTTAATAATTGTACGGAATCTTATTAGAAATATGGATATCAATTTGATGTTAACGTCAATTTAACTTATGAATGTAACTCGATCTTATGGCTGTGAGGTTTTTTTGACAGACTTGTCCATGTGAGGTGGTCGTGCTGACACTATGGCTCGTGAGGTCTCGGCTCCGGGTTCAATTCCAAATGCGGCTTGCGGTCTTGTAGCTGTCCGTTTGTAACCGAGGTAAACCGTATGATATACATTTTTTTGTTAGTTGGTTCGCCCGCGACTCCGTCTGCGCGGTATTAAAAAAAACTTAATTAGCCTATGTGTTGTTCCAGACTACGTTCTAGAGATACTTTCAAACAAACATCCACCGATATACCATAAAGTATTAAGATCATCATCAAGCTGAGTGCAAATATCTGTCTGTTTGATAAAGCTCGGAGACATCGGAATGCGGTCGCCGCTCCCTCGGGGATGCTTCCACTCCTCGGGGAATACATGACCAGGTAACACTAAACAAACTTTATAATGCATTTATATAGAATTATGTACAACTTTGATACTTAACGCTTTGCAATAGAGTTGATTATACCTGATTGCGGTTTGTTGTATGTATTGTTTAATTGGTAATAGTAGGTAGATTTGTCATTGTATTGGCCACGCGCTCCCAGTCGGAGGTCCCGGCTTAGCGAATGGTTCCCGGGAATTTGCGCGCCCCCACTGATTCAGTCATCCACCCACTGCGCACTCTATGTAGTGCTCTTGACCTGCTGCCGTGAGAGAATTAAAAAAAAATATCTGTCATTTACTTACCGTAGGTTTCTAAGACCATCATTACCTTATCATTTCTCTAGCACTATGCAGTTTATATAAACTACAGCTCTAGTTAACGTCAGAACCTCGGTGCAAATAATTACTACATATATAATGCCAAAAGTAAAAAGAGTATTAAAAGCTAAGGATACATTTCAGGTAATATGTCATTAAGAGTTTCGTGATGTGCGCCTGCGCGTCGCCTCGTCGCACGAAAACACAGCGAGCCTTTCCAAATCAATGAACGATTCAAACATATATTCAAAGATACTCAAACTTTTCTCAAAACATCCTAATACCGGTAGTCATAAATCGAACTAAACTACGACAGCACACTAGCGCTGTCCTGTCAACATTAAAAAAGTGTCACAAGGTCCTTTTCTTACTGTATCTGTCGTATCAAGTTTTTTCTTTGACCATACAGGTTTTACTGATTTCCTGACAGAACTAACTGTAGCAGCTCCACTCTCAAAGGGTCATATAGCCTGCGAGTTTCGACGATTTAAGTTGCCTTAGGTACGAAGGCTTTATAGTGACAGTTTATAACAAGATACTCGTTCCTGATTGGGAAGAGAATTTAACTCTTTGTACATAAATTTGGCTGGCGTGCTGTTAGTTTTTAAATTGTTGGCGACAGTTTGAGTATCGCTGCGTGGTCCAGCGGAGCGCGCGACATGTTGCCTTGCTGTTGTGTTGTGTTGTGACAGCGCGCCAGGACACCGTCTTTATTTTAACAATATAATACAATCATAAAGTCCGTCTGTTTGGCTTCGCAGAACTTGACACTACAGGTTTGTTAGTATTGTCAAATTGTTTACATATTATTCATTGATGTTTAATATAAAATAACAATTTTGTGAATCATTTTCTGCGCTGATATTTTGGCAATTTTATGACAAAAAATAATTCTAAAATTCCACCTATTAGCGTATTTAATTATTTCCATTATATTTATATACTTACTCGTATACTATGTATAACATCCCCCAAAAATATCGTCATACAGATAATAATATAAAGATAAATTGATTAATTAATAATAAATTATGATAACTGTGACAGCGGATATCGTCGATAACAATAACCGGCTTAGCGCTTACTTACATATCTCATACAGACCGATTCGCAAGCTATGATTTTTTTATATTGTATCACATATTTAATATTTACATGTAAATAACCAGTTTGTTATAAAAAATATAATATGTTTGTATCATATAAACGTATGTTGTAGCGATGTTATAAAAGATACAAAATAATATAATATGTTAGACAATAATTCTTGTACGGCAACGCCATCTTTAACAGTGGTAGAGTCCGCTTAACCTCTTCGCAAGAATTGTCCCGGCTCGCCCGGTGAAATATCACAACCACACAGATGACAGGCGTCAAGTGGAAGCAATTCTGCGTTTCGTCTGATGAGTGTGCGTCCCGGAGGCCTAATTTAGTCCTCTTTCCCTTTCCACTCTTTTTTTTATAAGGAAAGGATGGGAAGTGGAAGTGGGAGTGGGAAATTTTCTTTCTGTGCATTCTATCCTTCGTCGATAAAAGATAGGCAACCCATATGCAATTGCGTATGGGTTGCCTATATATTGCTATGGGCAACAGTCACTTCGCTATTTCAGCGATTTCAAGTGGCCGCTCGCTCGTTTGTCACCTTATGATATAAAAAAAAATACTTTTTATATTCTTTGCCGGTAAAATGCATGCCGCTTGTATGGAAAAAATATGACATAGTTGACTAGTTACAAACAAAATTATTTAATATCACAATACAAGATGAGACTGCAAATAAAATGTTTAACTCTTTTAGGTTTAAATAATTGCTGTTATCTTTTTGTTAGGTGTTTGATTAAACAATGGTTGAGTTTGTAACATTTGCATATAATAATTAATAAAAGGGTTAGTAAGTTTGGGAATATTTTTCTCTATTTAACGCATTTCTCGCTTGCAAGTTGTATGTTTTCAAAACTCTCTGCTGATTACTGATCTCACTGCTGATTTAAACCCACAAGAATCACCACCATTAAGCGATTGGTTAACTGAGTTCAGTTAAAATAAAATCGTAAGTCTTCGGACATAATTCTCTCTTTTGTTTCTAGGCACAATACCTTTTTAACAAATTAAAAAAATGGTATTAAGTATTTCCATCATTTTATTTCCATTCAAAATGACGTGAGTACAATTATACTTTAAAATAAAAAAAATAATACAAAGTACAAAAATACAAAAACACATCGTTGCTTCTTTAAATTATTTCAAGGAGTTTATTTTGATAAATATTAAAATATAGTATTAGTTACAATGAAGATTTCTGAAGACTCTGGCAACTCCAATGGGTGAAAGTTGCGTTTAAAAATTATAAAAATGTTATTAATTTCATATCTTTAATTACTAAATTCATTAAACTCTTAATTTCTTTTTGCGGCACATTTTGTAAAGGCGCTTATAATTTTATAAGCAATATAAAGTAAAATTGGTAAAATTACGGTTTACAATACAAATAACGGCAATTGTATACTTTTAGAAATAATTTGTTACAATTTCTTACAACATATTATATCAGAATTGACTACATTTAGAACACATGTTTAGATCATAACGGGATTAGATTCAAACATGGGAAAGTATAATTTAAATAAATTATCAAGTATGGCAAGATTTCACTAAGATTAAATGAAAACTGAGATAATATTAAAAATGATTAAAACAAGAATATTCGTCTATATACAAATTGTCAGTTGTGTTCTCTTATTAATTTTTCAAATAACAAACTTCTCACTTTATCATCACTCAATGACCAAGACTAAGTAATCATTAAGCTGCTCTGAGTGTGAATTGCATTTTAATTACTTTTAATACAGCTTATAAAATGTATGAAAGTTGACAATGTATTATTTGGTTATGCGTTTGGTTGTAACGCGACAGAGGTTGTATGTTGTTGTTACTAGATGGCGCTGACAGGTCTCGCTCGGTTGCGGTCCGTGTAATGCACAGTGCGCTGTTTGCCGTCCGCGCCTGTGAACGTGTAGTAGCCTCGCATGGAACCCTCAACGCGGGAGTCGTGATGGTCGTGCTCGTCGCGATGTGGCCACGTGTTCTGCAAAAAGCAATTTATGGTTAATTTTGTACACTATGTAAATTAAAAAAATAAAATACTAGCATGTTATTCGCAATTTATAATTTCTTATAACATTACGTTTTAGGCTCGTCTTAGCTGTATCTTGTAAGATAAAAGATAGTGTTTATGAAAATACATAGTCAAATCGAACCCACGACCATGTTTTCGATAATCCGTACTTTAAACCATTAAGCTATTGGTGCTTCATTGTACGTATTTAGAAAAAAAAATATTCGTGACGCTTCATTACTGACCTATAGTAGAGAAACAGCACGAAAAACAAGCGTAAGTGTACATGCATGTATGAATGTAGAAGGAAACGAAACAAAATGTATGTCTGTATATTATAATTCAATCTGCGGCATAACAAAGCGTACGCATGTTGTGTAACTGTGTAAATACGTGACGACAAGTTCACAAACAAGGCCAATGTGTATATGTCATTCAAACTTTATAACTGCGCGCAGTTTAACAAGACGTTATCAGTGACCGAGTACTCATTGTTTGCCAATAGACATTTACAGCTTCACCTGGCTCGAAGAGGCCGGCTGCAGCCGGCGCCTAGCCTAAACTTTGTAAATAAAGGAGCTATACAATCATAAATATTATAGCAATTTATTGGACGTAAAGAAATGCAAGAGCGGGACACAACTAGCCCACGCTTTCCTTCAATCGCGGTGAATCCCGCAACTGAGATGGCATACGCTAACACCTACGAACTGCTATAAAGTTTGAATATTGTTATGCTCTGCGCCCGCGCACGTTGCGAGGGAAATTGAGCGAATTACGTAAGTAGCGGTTACGACGCACACTGAACGAATGATTGTCCGAAATTTTGAATTCATTGTTTATATTTTTTTTTGTTCTAATTAGCGTAAGAAAAAAAGATAAGAATGGAAAACTGAAGAAAAAACTGACAAATTCCATTTTCTGTATAATTTACTTTATAATTTCTATCAAAATTGCAATTAAGAAAGATATAAGTTCTCCGGAAGATTTATAAATGTAATTAAGTTTTTTTAATTCTGCGCGGATGGAGTCGCGGGCGATAGCTAGTAATTAATAAGTTCGAGGTTTAGTTTGCGTTTGTAAATAACATTGTAATTGAGCAATGAGCACACCTTGCGTTGCGTATCCCCGACGGCCGTGAATTTGTTTCGATGGTGCAAGTGAAGGCTTCCCATGAGCCTACGTACTCTGAGAAGAATGTTCATTACGCTCTAATTAACATGTTTACCATCAACTTTAAACCTTCTACAGTTTAAATTCAAAATAATTCAATTATAAGTGGTTAGTAATATTTTTTCTATCCTTAGTAATCACCATTTTTAGTAAATTTATCATTTTATCTTGCCATTTTACTTATTTGTGTAGTCAACTTTGCAAAACCATAATTTACTAATCATTGCTTCTGAGACAAAAATCTCTGCACAAAACATATTGTCATATCTGTCGGGATCTTTTTGAAATCAGAGATAACAATTTGTTTTAAACACGGATTCTAGTCTCAGAAATCGACGGTAAATAATATTAACATATAATACTTGAAGTGGACAAACTTTCACTGACGCTATCCTCAGCCTGTCTCCAACACATTAAAGTATTATGTTTGATAACTTTCTCCTCGCGCTAACGCCCTGCTTTAGCACTAATATTTATATTACTATTGAAATTTTCCTTTTATACTAGACAATTTGTAAACAATATACTGTTATTTATAAATACACTAGTTTTCGCTCGCGATTCCGTCTACCCGTTCTATATTTGTCAAATTCCAGCGAGATCTATGCAGCCTTTCGGGAGATATCTTCCAACAAACAACTAACATCCATCCATCCAAACATTCGCATTTATAATATTAGTGAGATTTAAACCTTACCTAATTAAAATTACTAAAAGGAATGCCACACCATGGCCTGCAACATCCAATCATTAGAAAACAGTTTCGGTTGCAGACACGCTCTGATAAATTGGACCACTATTCTTAAATACTTTGTATACTTATGTTCTTAACTTTAGTTTCCACTGACGAAACACTTGAACAAAAACATATAGATACCCCGCCTTTTCTTTAAAAAAAATGAGATAGCAATATATTTTTGTATAATTGTTTTGTCATGGGAAACACACACTAAAAGGAGGGTCATGCAAAGTATGCTAAAGTTGCGGCACTGCGTAGATGAACAAAGTTAAAGTAAGTGAAGGTCATGCGAATTCAAATTGTTAATCTCTTTCACACTATCTTGTTTAATTCGTCTTTTTAATATTAAATTTAAATTGTGGTATTTTCAAATAACGACTTTAGAGTTACAAAATAAAATATGCATTTATATTTCTACTACCTGTCGCCCGCGACTCTGTTCGCGCGGAATTAAAAAAGTGTGTTCTTCCAAACTATGTTCAACATCTATGACAAATTTCAGCAAGATACGTTTAGCCGTGCAGGAGATATCCTTCAAAAAAACATCTAAACATTCGCATTTATAATATTAGTAAGATATAAGATAGAATATAGAAGATAAGTTACTATATAAAGGTTTTTTGAGTAACAATCTGTGTAGTTTAACTTAATCTCATTATCTTTGATGTAGAGAATAAATTGCAAAATATTAAATGCACATTATGACCTAGAACTTTTCAAAAATTGTATCGTAATATTTATGACATGTTCGTAATTTTTAAAACGGATCTATCTATTTAAAAAGAAAAAAGAAACTACATATTTAATTATAGCTTAACAATATCCTTATATGCAAAAAAAAACACGTTACAGAAATGAACCCGGAACCTTTCACGCGAGTACAAAATTCGCTTCTGTCAGGGTCACGTGTTTCAAACCGCTCTAATATCAGGAATGACAATTAAATGTGCCCGCGCTGTGCAAAATATGTCATAAGTATGCTCTAGTACTATTGCGCCCAAAGTGATAACTGAATTTAAAAACTTATTAAACCACTTTACTACAATTTAATATTATTAAAATACGAGTAGCGGATTTAATGGTTACTTTTGTCTTCTCCTGAATACCACTAATATTATAAATGCGAATGTTTATATAGATAGATGTTTTTAAGAAGGTATCTCCAGTACAGCTGTATGGATCTTGATGAAATTTCGCATAGATGAATAAAACAGTCTGGAAGTTCTTCCAGACTGTTCAGTATCTGTTCAGATAGGCTACTAATTAAGTTATTCTTTAATTCAACGCGGACAAATTCAACGACAGCTAGTATTATTATGTATTTTTGATATATTTTGTTATATACTGAGTTATTATATTATTTTAATGAGCTATGATATGTGAAACTTTTAAAAGAAATGTTTTTACTTTCACTATCTTTCAATGTAAGTATATTACCTTGACATCAATGTACGGAAAATTTAATTACGTCATGATATTTTTGCAAAAACAAAAAGTTACATTATAACCGTGAGCGGAGTCAAAATTTTGCAAAAATACGCACTTAATTTACATTTTAGTGATAATATGTGCAAAATTATTTACATTAAAAAACAACTTCCCCACTTAGTAATCCAATTAGTTTTATTATCAATGTTATATGTAACCAAACTATAAAGATGACCTGTCTATAAAATAAAAAAAAAATGTTTATTTCCGAGGAGCTATGATTTAAAAAATATAGCAATGTTTTATTATTATTTTTGGGCATGATTGTACAATAATAGTAATAATGATTGTATTCGATTGTACTTAAGGTGCATAGATATCACACAAAAAGGATATTAATAAATACTTAAGCATACGACAGCCGCTGATATTGGCTATTTGATATTTATCACCTCGATCATTTTCAAAAATATATGAAACATAAAAACATTAAAGTTCCGTTTTTTTCCTATGAGGTACAGAACCCTAAAAAGCATTATAATTACACAGATTCTATTTAATATAGACTATATATTTGTTATACTAAAACAAAACAATGTATGAGATTGCAGTGACCTTTACAAATTCCAGCATCTCAATGCGTCTCAGTGCGGGGCTGCAGGGCACGCCTCGAGACTTACAAACTTTGAATGATTGTTGCTCTGACCTCTCACAACACTGCACGATTTGACACTGTATTGAAGCCATGATCATCAAATTGTCATAAATCATTGTCACATAAGTTAGCTGTCGCCTGCGACTTTGTCCGCACCGAATTAAAAAATGATTAATGTATATGTCTTCTTCCAGGCTATGTTCTATGTTTGCTACATTTCAACAAGATTAGTCGAGGCGTTCCAGAGATATCTTCTAACATGCATCCAAACTTTATTATTTATAATATTAGAAAGAATAATGTCATATGTTTAATAGTTTTTGAAGCGCCTTACTATAGAATTATAATGTTATGTTTCGAAACATGTTTTATCATTCTCACTACGAAATACAAGCTTGATTATATCTCATCAATCACATTTATCAATTGCAGATTGTGAGAAAATCGCAATATATGTTTAGCAGTTGTGTTATTGTTAATAGATATAATTTCTCTGTTTGTCGCGAGTCGCCGACTCATTGTAGATCGCACTGCTTTCCATTGTTCTTATATTCTCTCCAACAACAGACTATTGTTACGCGGGAACTTGTAACAAGGTTCAAAGAAATCGGCCACGTAATTATTTAAAACATATTAGTGTTTTGTCTGGACATTATTGATATATAGGTCAATGAAAGTGGTCAATAGTAATTCTAACAAAAGAATTAATGACAATATAATCACACCCGTAGCACAAAGTGATAGGCAGAGTCCATGGACTTTCATTTGGTGCGATCCTGAACCACAACTCTTGCCTCTTCAACATCATAAGTTCAATGTATTTTAAAGTACTAATAGGCATTATTTTATTGACAAACTAAAAAATTTGCTGTTATGAATTCACAAATACATTTTACTATAAAGTAATTATTTTGTTTAAAGGAAATAACAATTAAGGTCAAAATAATAATAACAGTTAAAAAAACCGAAATGATAAGTCATTGAAAGATGACTGACATTCAAAAGCGAAAGTATATCAGAGAGAGTCATGTGACACGGTGCTACAATCATGGCGGGTTGAGACAATACCTGTTATAGATGTAGTTTGGACTAACTGTCGCCCGCGACTCCGTGCACTAGTTATGAAATTAACAAAAAAAAACAACTTAATAAGTAGCCTATGTGTTGTTCCACACTATGTTCTACGTCTATGCCAAATTTCAGAGTGATCAATGCAGCCATTCTGGAGATACCTTCAAACAAACATCCGTCTAATCACCCATCCATCCCTCTAAACACTCGCATTTATAATATTAGTAAGATAGTAAAGTTCAAGTTAAATGTCGATAGTAATTGTAAAATGATGAAGCAAAACTAATACCAAATCCTAAATGTTAACGATAACGATGGTAAACTAATTTGAATTTAATAAACTTCTGAGTTTATGATACATTGAAATCATCTTTAACAAAAAATTATTTCTTTACTAGCTGTTGCCCGCTTCAAACTAAAAAATAGTAGTCTGAGTTTTTCTACATCTATGCTAAATTTCATCAAGGTCCGTTGAGTCTTAGGAGTTCTTCATGTGTGAAGAAGTTGACTGGTTTCTCGTTTAGAATATTAAAGACATGCTTTGTTAAGTATGTAAGTCGTGTACTCACCCTATGTCCATAGCTATACGAGTGTTGGGGGTTGCTTTCATACTGGCTCTGCGCGGGGATGAACTTCGTGAGGTATGGGTAGTAGTTGGGGACGGGCAGAGAGTTCACCTGCCCCACCTGTCCAGGGATGTGGATATCTTCCAGTTTGTATAAGTTTTGTGGTCGTTCCCTCGGTTTTACTGAGTTTATATTGCTTACTGAGATTCCTCTTAAGTCGTAAATACCCATGTTAGTTCTCGGGTCGTGGTACAGCACCTGATTGTTGTGCCAGGGCTGCTTCTTCAGTACGATCGGCGCTATGGTCGGAATATTCCTATACCCCGTGTACTCCGCAACGCTTTTGGGGAGTTCGCGTATTGCTTGACTAGGATTATATCTTTCGTAGTCTTTAGGTGTGTTGATAAGTCTTAAGATGGCTTTCATTCGTTCACTTTCCGGTAGTTTGGTGTCCGGATCGTCGATGTAGCTAACAAGGGCTTCTTCTAGAGTGCTGTATGTGTTGTAAGCTGACTCCGGACCCTTCGCCCCGGGCCCTGTGTCGTCGTAGTTGTTTTCTATGGCAAATCTGATCTGCGACTCGGAGGCCGCAGAGTAACTTGGTATGGTTAGTCTGTCTCGCAGTGAGTTGGCACTTGTTGCTAGACACAGGACTAGAGGGATCTGCGAACAAATATGCAAATGTTTTACAATTACAGTGTAAAAAAAAGAAAATGTCCTTTCGAGGCGAAGTGCATTAAAGTGCAAATTTTATTACTTAGTTAAAACATAATTAGGTATTTAACGTTTACTTCAATTGAATTTAATATTTGTCAGTTGATCTTTTTGTATGCCTAAATGTGTACAGATTTACCATATTAAACCAAATGTAGCCATTCAAGAATGAAACTGGGTCATTTACATTTTACACATCATCTAATATGAAAACACACAATGTCGTAGTATAATTCTAAACACTAACAAGTTTCATATTTACCAATATAATAAAATAGACCAAACGTATTCCGTATAATTTCCATGAGGTCATTGTCCTCGATCCTTGGTCCATCAAACTCGAATTATTTCAGGAAACATGACGTTTATAACGCTTGGATTTTATGATGTAAGTCCAAACATCCGAAATACTGCTTTCTCACGTACCGAAAAACTCAAGCAGTCACACACAAGAAGCAGTGCGTAAACTAACAAAAAAACGTGTTACGTAACTTCACGCAACAGGGTCTATTAGCATTACGTTTCGTAAAACGCGTTAATTGTAGCATCGCTAATTTTTAACGGCAACGTTATTAGCGCGTAACGTATCGGCTACTTATATGTAACTTTTTAAATAATATATACAATGTATTAAATATCATTTGCAAGTTAATGAAACGGAACGGCTACTGGTTCACATACTATGTTATGTTAGGAAGAAAATCCGAAAATGAGCCTGTGCACTCATCACTAGACTTACTAAAATGTCGACGTTTGTGTTCCCTCACTATTTATTCTGACACTGGACTTTGTAACGAAAGCACGTCATTCACGCCAAAGGATTCTAATTATTAATGTCTAAATATACATAGAAAACTGTCACTTTGCAACAGAGATTTTGAGAGAAGGCAAAAGATGTGAAGATGTTAAAATTATTATAGATATAATATAATAGATCGCATATAAAAGTATTTTTATATGCGATCTAAAAACCACCACGATTTATTATACCTGTTGGTTATTTATAATTAAAAAGTACACGGTAATAAATTTGAAGAAAACTGATACAAACTCGGAAATGCGACAAAACGCGAAAGTCACATAGTAGTAAAGTTCAAGTGACTTTCTACTACGCGCTCCTACGAGGTTACGTCAGGCAACCTTGACATTGGTGACGCGACCTTCAGTCATCTTTTTGTGACGTTCCACGTAGAGTAGTTGTTACAAAAGCTGCAACCTAATTAAAGTGTCAATATTTATGTAAAAACGAGATCAACATATAATCTGTATGAATAGAAAGTGACAGCACATCAATCCAGTTTTATGACACAAATTGCGTCATTGATTCACATAATAAAAATATTAACTTGCTTAAACCCACATAGATGCCTAATATTTATACTGGCTGGAAAAATAATTTTATAAGAAATAAACAAAATTTTTGAACTTTAACGGCAACACTCAGAGTTCATTTGTTACTTAAAGAGTTCCTTAGTCAAAAATTTTACTAAATCTACACTTGGACCATCCTTTTGTAAGCAATAAACAATAGAGAGATAAAAGATGGAAACGGAATCAGATTTTGGCAATTGTCAATGTGTTATTATGAAATATCTGATGGGTTTCCATTGTGGATACAAAACACGATGTAGACAATCATAAGCGTTCTATAAAATAATTATATTAGATTCGAATTTAAACTGTTAAAATGTTAAGAGTGCAAGAGAAGTAAATCTTTTTACTTGTTTTAATAAGTGAAATGGACTATGTTGCCTTTACATAAATAATAATTAATATTTTAAATTTAGATATAAACAAACCATATTATATAATTTATAAAACAAAAAGTAAACATAATGTATAATGGCCAGTTATTTCTGATTAGACTAGCAAATTATTTGTCTATGAAATTGTTTATTTTTAATTTTCTAATATTATTTTTAAATGCGATCAACATATTATAAATTATTAATTCAAAATATTATAACATAAAAATAAAACCACTTTACAATCTTCTTGCGATATTACATTAGTAAAAAATAGTACTTACAATAATCGGTAACATTTTGCTTGTAACACACGCGTACTATGAAACAACAATACGTTGAGTACAGTAACCAGTACAGGCGACGGCGCTCGATGGTAGCTGGTCGTCGAATGACTGCCGTACACCGCACACCTGCTACCAATGGTGGTCAGTGGTCGTGGTTCATTGCTGTTTAACATGGTAGAGAGACGTATCATTTTTATGTTCGACTTATTACCAAAAAGAAAACAAAGAACGAAACTGATAAGAGTGAGTTAACCTAAAAAATACAATAAGTATGGATGTCCAAAATGCTTAGTAAATCATCTATAGAATTCATTATTCTGCAATGTTATAATTCCACGATTATTAGCGCTAACTTTGGACTTATTTATTTAATTAAATTAGACCTTCCTACCTTTTAATCTTAGATTTTAGGGAAAAGTATCTGTCCGCATTACATCTTTTTTTTATCTGTATTTAATCTGTACTTAATTTAATATTTTTTCACACATCAAAGATGTTCTAATTTAAAACCTATATTAAATATAGCCATGTAATTAATGACCGAGACGTTAATATTAATTACGTTATATTTAAGTTATGTTTCTTATATGTAGAAACTAACTTTTTACTAATCAAATATTTCTAATGCGTATACGGAAATTGCGATAAAAATGAATCGATAAATCAATTGGCGAATCGTTTCCTATCCGATGTGCGAAATTTCCGCGAGTTGTATAACGTCTTTGGGTATTTATTATCTCAATATCTGTATGTATATCATGTTGTGATTGGGACGGTGTTATGCAACATTGCGTAAAGAATAGTAAACAAATTGTTTTTATTTAAAAGTATAAACAACTTGTTTATTTGTTATATGGGAGAGTAATTAAATATTACGTGACATCTTAAATATTATTTATAATATAACATGAAATATTTTCATAAATTTTCGTATGAATTTTATGAGTTTTACCATCTCTGATAGGATGCTTTGTATGATGTATGTGTTTATGGTCAAGGAGATTGTACGTATGTCAATTTTATTTTGTTACATCCTGTAGCTTAAAGTGCTGAAACGACGTCAAACGTTATGTTCCTTCTTATTCATATAAAACAAATTATTTTATTAGTAATATATCAGTCAAATTGTAATTCGAAACTGCAACAGTCAGACTGTAACGGTCCAGTAATAAGTTGTAATTATATTTACAAATATGTTTATACCACGGTTGACTTCGTCGGCTCCTCAGTGATCGGTTACAAACATGATGAAACTCATACAAGACATGTTATAATCGTATGCTATTTGCACTCAACAAAATGATTAAATTAACATGAAAAAAAATAGTTCAAAATGACAAATAGCTACTTTGTTATAAATGTGAAAAGTGACTGAGGAAAAACTGAGGTTTTACGGGACGTCAAATTGAACACTAGGTGAAATTTCTCTATAGTCCTAAAGGACAGTGCTGAAGCGTTTCGTACTAACCTATAGTAACGTAATATATCTTGAGTCTGCTTAGATGTTTAATAAACACGTAATTAAATTATTCAAGTCAACTTTTGTTTTAGGCTGTCCCTGACACGCCGACGGCACTTATAAGTTATTTTTTTAATATGCGTATTTATATTAAATACGCATAATTTTGTTGTCGTTATACAATTATTTCTATAACCCGTACCATATTTAAACACACTTCTCTTTGTCACAGTGTAAGTAATAACAGTAGACGAAACATTATTATGACGAAAGTAGGCACATACTTTGTTAAGATTTAATTTTTCAAGAAAAATGTTAGACTATCTATAAGAACGCTCACATGCTGAATTGACCAAAACATTAATCTTAATTGGTCGACGTCAGTAACAGTTCTATCAAAATTAGTTAACTGCTACAATAAATTGTATTATTAACAAAATGGTATTTTGATAAAAAAAATTAGAAACAAAATTAGAAGACAACGAAACTTGTAAATAGTATTTTGAATAACTCCGTTGATTATTTCCACTGGTCCTATTATTAAAAGCTAAGTTGTTCTACTGACTTTATTACACTGGGGTACATTTCCGCGGAAGTTGTCTTTTGCCGTATCGCTACATTATTTTGCGTGTTTAAAGGCCCCAGTGCTACGGGTTAATTAGAAGTATATAATGGAATTAAGTAACCAGAGTAGAAATCGTATATAATTAGGTAAATTAGTTGTTTAGAGGTTGCAAGGTAAAGTCACTTAAAATTCATAACTATTATAAAATTCTTTAACAAACAACCTCAATAGTATAGCGGTTAAAGTATCTGGCTGATAAATCGAGGGTCCTAGTTGTAGTGCATATTAAAAAAAAATACAGTTTTTGATATTTATTTACATATTTAAACATAATGGACCTCTCAATATATAAACCTTGTCAAAAAATAACGGCCTTTCAACTAATAAACCTAAACTTACTTTTAAATTAAGCAGTACAGTCAGTTGCATAAATATGTAAACATTTATAACTCTTCAGAAACTTACATGTGTCTTATGTTTTAAAAATATATATAGTAATCTGTCCGTATTCTTCCAACCATAAATACATATACGTATTTTTATAACCGAAACCCTTTATAAATTTCTAAAGTTTTGTAAATTTTTACATATTTATGTAGCTGACTGTACAATTTACTCGGGAACAGGATTACTTTTTATTACGCATTGAATATTATCTTGCATCTATTTTTGTGTTCTAGGTATTAATATTAATTTCAATCATTTCAAACTTGATTGAATGTAGCATTTTAAACTTTACCACACTAAAAATAAGAATCAAATTCCTTCATCAAGCTATAAAGAGATTGTTTTATAAGTGTAGTTAAGACAATTATCATTTATTTAACTTACACCTAAAGGCTTTAATACTATAATTATATATTTAGTCTGCAAGGATAATAAGTCGAGACCTTGTTATATTAAAAGCTTTTGTTTAGATATATTAACGATAAAGACAATAAACACGTTAAGTTACAAAAAGCTCTCAAGTTAAATTATCTGGAAATTCTCAATTAGAAAAGGTGCATTTTATAAAATTGATGTTTTTTTTTTTAATTTGGAAACTTTTCCAGAAATTGACGAAATTTGTTATAATTACAAGCACTTCTTTTTTATTATTCAAAGAGAACGAGAGGAACTATGTATTATAGTTTATAGTTTATAAATTCACTGCAATAATAAACGCTTATAATCCATGAAATTAATACTTCCTGATTCGGATATTCAAGTTGAATCTAAATTTCTACTTTTGTTAAGAACTGTATTGTAATTTTTTCATCTTTTAATTTGACCATACAAAAATATTGTAAAAGAAACCATAAAATCCTATAAACATTCAAACAAGTTAATACAATCCGTAGTATAATTACGTGCGACCAATTATATGTTAATTGTTTCGAATGGATTAGAATCGCAAGTCAAAGCTACGACACGAGGTAACATTGGTTAAACAATTAAAGTCTCCTTGAACACATATTATATATATGTATATTTCAATGGTATACGACTTGTATGTCAAATTAATATTACCAATTTGTTAGGGCTATTGGAAATCTGCATAATGTTTGTAGAAGTATTGGTAATGATCGGAAACCTTTTTTCAGATGACGATTAACTAATCAATCACTTAAGTACTGCTTAGTGTAGTCATTTGGTAATTTAAACAGTCTCTTGGTATGTCAATTTAGTACGCGTAATCTGAGCTAAGCTACTTTGTGTTGTACAAATGTTGTAAGCACAATAAATTATAGATTTTTTTTATATCATAAGGTGGCAAACGAGCGAGCGGCTATCTGAAATCGCTGAAATAGCGAAGTGACCGTTGCACATAGACATACGCAATTGCAAATGCGTTGCCTGCCTACCTTTAATCGACGGAGGAAAGGATGCACAGAAAGAAAATATTTCCATGCATCCCCTCATCCGAAAAATCCACCTTTACTTCCAATCCTTTCCTTATGAGAAAAAGGTGGGAAGGGATAGAGGACTAAATTAGGCCTCCGGGACCCAAATAGACTTATTACCAGGACACTAGTCGCGAATTACTTGATAAATTTGATATTTAGAATGTTGAATCATGTTAACATTTTGTGTAACAATTTAAAAAAAAATATATAGTACTAGTTGTCGCCCGCGACTTCGTTCAACATTTATAATATTATTAAAATAGGCTTGGAGGTTGTTTATCGTAATAGGAAGTTGCGTTATTTCATGGTGGCATGATATTTAATAACAATTAACAAGTTGCGATCAAAATTAACCTTCAAAATTAGTTATACTCATTTATTTAAATCCTATACGATATATTAACAAGGTCATTTGTATGTATTATAATGCGATGTTAATTAATTTAATTAAGTTTATTTCATTAAAATATTTACAAACATATTATAATTATATTTATGTAAATAATAAACACTTCCGATTCCACCTGTAAAGAATCAAAATCTTACGAAAGTAGACTTCAATAGGTAACGCCAGAACTTTAGATTGTAATGGGTAGAAATTTAAATTCTCTAGCCATAATTTTTGCGTACATTTTTTAAAGATGCAACTGTCAGTCTTTTATGTATGTATATTACGTATGTTATATTTAAAGTTAAACGCAGATATCCATATTTAACTCGATTAAATAATTAGGCGTGAAAGTTTATTTTTAACGAACAGTTTAATTCCTTCGTAAATATTAACGACACACGTGGCCGTGAGGTGTCGCTAGGTGAGCTGGAATACAAATAATGACTTCATGATTTATTGCTTATAAAACTTTTCAATGAACTTGTAATTATTTGAAAAAAAAAAACTTTTGACTGTAGTAAAGTGATTGATCTAGTTCACCTTCATATATAGACATAAAGTACTACTAGATCTAATGTCTAGGAGATTCGGACTATAACATATTTAAATATATCTAGATAAACCGCTTAAGTATTATACTAATGTATAATATGTAACATATAAATGCTTGATATTTGATTTGGCACATAGACAACAAGAGTATTCTTCTGAGCGACGTGCCAACTGAAATGCCTGGTTTTGGTAAACATGGTCGAAACTTTTGCAACATCTTAATACGCGTGTGTTATTTTTAAGGGAAATATCGCTAATTCCGGTGCTGGCTGCCGGCCGTGGGGATGACTGCGGG